ACAGGGTTAGAGGTCGGCTGGAACCGATTGTTCGTAGCTACGCCGCGGCTACGGTTGGGCGTAGGCGCTACGCTGAGTATATTTCCACGGAACACTCCACCGGGATCTAGCCCAGTTTTGCAGGTTAATAGATACACACACACATATATAATTAAGAAAATATAGAAGGTTCAGGTTTTAATATCACATCGATTTCTTTAGATAATGAATATTTTGTATGTTTTTTTTATACTTAGGCTTATCCCGATTGGTCTTTCCACGGTGCTGCCAGAGACGAGTTCGGAAATTGCACAGGCCTAGTATCAGTTTACAGAATACGTTTGGATTCCTGCAACCGTCTATGGGTTGTAGATTCTGGTGTCACTAACTCATTAGACGATTTCCAGAGAATGTGTCCACCTAAAATTTTAATTTTTGACACTGCTACTGATACTGTCATCAGAAGTGTTATTTTTCCACGCGAAGTTCTTCGACCTTCATCTCTGCTCACTAATATCATTTTGGATGAAACTACATCAGATCCTGCCAATCATTGTGATGATCTGTTTGCGTACATTAGCGATACCGCAGCCCCAGGTGATAATAGATAGTTTTTACTCCTAATTTTTTTAACTGGCATTAAATGTATGTTTATTACTAGTGCTAAGTTTTGTATGAATTGATAAATATGTATTTATTATCCAGGTTTAATAGTCTACGACGCCGGCAGAGACCTTTCCTGGCGTGTCATCCATCCATCCATGTACCCTGACCCAAATCATGCATCAGTTGAAATCCAAGGCGAAAGTTTTAGCCTTATGGATGGAGTTGTAGGATTGGCATTTGCTCCTAAAACTGGAACATTATACTTTCAACCATTGGCATCTGATAGATTGTTTGCCGTACCTACAGCCGTGCTCAGATCAGGTCCAGTTCCTTTGGGTGGAGAATTGCAAGTTCGATTGGTGGGCAGAAAAAGCTCTCAGGGCTTGGGAATTGCTGTTGATTATGATGATGATACTGTTTACTTTAGTACAACTACTGAGACATCATTGGCTTTGTGGAATCCGCATAGCAATCATCAGAGGTAACAGAGAAAAGAAAATTTGATAGTTGATTAAGCATTAGGTTGATACATTTTTTGCAAAATATGTATCATTATTATTAACTTAATTTGTTTTTTTTTCAGATTGTTAGCCATTGACAATAGTCGTCTCCAGTTCACGGCCGACGTCCGTCTTCCAGAAAGGGATCCTGGGTTCTTATGGGCCCTTACAACTCGTTTCCAGAAGTTCTTCTTAAGAAATGTGTCTGCTCATGAAACTAACCTGCGAATCGTCCGAATGCCAATAAAAGCAATTCAGTCCGGACCTCCAATTCCTCAATGGAGTTATTTAAATACATTGGATCACTATAGAGAAAAATACTTGGACAAAAGAGACACAAATTCCACATCCAGATATTTGTAAATTGAGTTCTGAAATTGCATTCATGTTCGACGAATATATTTCAAGGTATGGTTCAGATTTTAAGGTATGGTTCAGAACTGCAACATTTGAATGCTAAGTTTGATTTCAAGGTAATTTTCGATAAATCAATTATACATAAAAAAATCTACTCATATTTTTTAAATTATTTAAAAATATCACGATGAGTAAAAAATTTAAGACAACTGCCATTGATTTATATCATACTTGTGCCTTATAGACGGGTAACTTTTTGCGCCCACATTACAATACACATAATAAAAAATTACCTTTTGCACAAATCTTTGAATATATATACTCGTATATATATATATATATATATATATATATATATATATATATATATGATACATACTCATTCTATCAGTATTTTGATCATTTTCCATTTATCATTTGTATATATAACTTGATTTTCTCATTCTATCTCCTCAGCCTTATTTTTAATTTATTTCTATTATTTTTGTTTGTGTATATAATTTAAATTTAATAATATACATGTTAGTAAATTGCATGTAATTTTTATTATTTTAAATTATTTTTATTCTTATCTGTATGTAAGATATATGTTTATCAGGTTCATCTACTTTAACATAAATACGTAATCTTATACTAAAATCAATATTAGCGTTTCTAGAAAAGCCTAGATGAGTAAATTTTATATTAAGAAGATTAGGTTATTTGTAAATACTTTGTATTTTCGTATTAGTAATAATCTGTCTAATCTAAGTTGTAAAACTTAAATAAATCTTTTTTAAAATAATTATAAAATATCTTGTTAATATTTTAATGGCGTTAGGTATTTCAGAAACTTCAAAAATAGCCTCAGAATAAAATGTTCAATAATAAATATATATATATATATATATATTTATATATATATATATATAAAATTAATTATAATATTATGTATAAAATTAAAATATATAAAATATTTTCTATATAAATATTTTCAACGCCAGATTTTGCAGTAAAATAACCTAGCTTCTTATAATATTGCACCAAAGCAGCTTCTGATAAATGATTGATCTGCAATTGAAAAAATCAATAATTTATTGCTTTAAATTAATTTAACAATAACATAGTTTGAGAATATAATATTTCAATAATATTACCATGAATTGTTCAATATGTTGTTCTTAAGATTATTGTCTCTAGCTTTTTTTATATAACTATTACTAATTTTTGTGGTTTTGTAACATTTCCTGAGAGCAGAGAGAAAATTCTAACATAATTTATTTATTAATAATTATAAATATTTTTAATTAATTTAGAAAAATAAACATATAAATGAACCGACTGGATAGAAAAAAGAACTTTCAACTGGGTTTTTAAATTAGTAATTTTAATGGTGGGTTAGATAATAAACTTATGCATATTTTGTATTAAAAAAAAACACCACGTAATATCACAATTATTATTCTAAATTAATTCTAACCCTAATTATTATTCTAAATTAATTCTAATTCTAGAGTAGATTAGTGTGAAGAGTTTCTTGATTGTTTTTATCACAATCAACGACATGTTTTGTAATTTCAAATTAATTTATTACTCGCCTGGGATTCTGAGAAATCTTCTAGTAATTCAAGTGGCATTTCATCGATGGTGTAATTAGCAATACCACCCATTGCTTCCAAAGTTAAAGATTCCATTTCTATGGGAGTTAGGGAGCAAAGAAGCAAGCCAAGGCGGTGGGTCACGTTGGCATTCCAGGCACCAGGAAAACCGTAACAAGAAGACTTCATCGCCACGTCCAGGAGAGCCTGATAAGATGTAACTTTGTAAAATACTGGTGAATCGTGAAGCTAAATATAGATTAATTAAATACTATTACTATGGCCGAAATTAACAAAACAATTTTAGCATGGAGTTACATCCACTTTCATTGCCAGACGATTGGCGAAGGGAATCACCAAGAAAGTGAAGAGAAAAATTGTAGTTCCAAGTATTATGATCTTTCTAAAGATAAAAAAAAAATTTCAAGCAAATTCAATTTTCTAATTTAATGCTGCCTTAACGTTTCAAGTCGTCTTGAATAGTATGACACCAGTATTGGAAAAAGTAGATATCTATATGTACGTACATATATGTTAGCCAAATGTTGATTAGTTTACCAAATGGTTAGCCAACCGTTTTTTTAGAATCTTTATTATTAAACATTTTTAGAAAAGTTAAAATGCATTCCAAAGATATCAGTTGTAAATCGTGCTGATGAGCTATTGGTGTAGTAGATCGACCAGGCCGTTTTTTCAATTGATTTTTGATATTTTTTTATATGACTATTATGATGAAACCTTGTATAAATATAGAGTTTCTAGCAGTAATGAATTTGGAATAGTTGCTAAATCTCAATTTAGGAAGTTCGTGCTCCTTGACTCTAGGAGTGCCACTTACACTTAGTTTATATTAATTATTATACTTAACTCGTTTTTGTTCAATACTGCAATGATGAACTCGGCTAAAAGCATTATTCTCTAGATTAAAAATCACTTTCGGTGATATATTTTCAAGATTATACAAAGAAAATCCGCAGAGCAAACTTTTCAATTCATTTATGGCTGATGCATTTGATAATATGCTCTGTATATTACTGTGGCTACACAAACAATAAATTAATAGTAATAATATTTCTATATTGATACGAAGAATTTTACATTAGGCTACCTATTCACAATGGCAAAAGAGATAATTCCCAATTTTCTCCTATCAAAATCTAAGGTTTCTAAAATTGTTGTAAACTCAGGTCCACGTGTGGATATTAAATACAAATCACTTTCAGGTATGTAAGGCAACAATGGACCACATTTTTTCATAAACTCCTCTGATAATTCAAGTACGTCTCGACCACCTAATTTTTAATTATATGTAAAATTATTATTGACAGTTGAATAAATTCCAAAATATTAATATCAAACCTTTAACTTTTTCCCATATATCATTTCTCGCTTTTAGTGGCAAACTTATAAAATTAATTTCATCCAAAGTATTGAGCAATTCCGTTTTGCTAAAATTTATAATATTACGTTCAGAAATACCTGTTTGTTTATAACCGTAAATTATATGAAGTATGTGAAATATAATTAAAATATATTGAAGCATTTTTATTATAAGATCAAAGACTTTTTAATTTTAAAATATGTTATGATTATTAATCATAAAAAAGTTAAAAAAAAATATTCTTAAAATAAAAACTAAATTCGTAAAATCATTTTGTAAAATTACGTGTAGTTTTTGTTTTCCTTGTTAATCATAGTCTCTTCATATTTATAAATTAAATAGTTAAAATAATAAACTTATTTATATTTAAATTTCAAAAAGATGATGAATTTTCAAATTTCTTTATTTAAATTATTTTATAGTTTACTACTAATATTTTTATTACATATATTACATTACACTATTTATAATACCTTATAGTTTATAATTATATAAAAGCAGCGGGTACATATTTATTTAAATTTTTTTTATAAAATTACTTAGAAAAATAAATTTTTATATTGGTTCTGTAGCATATAAAGAAATATTGAAAATTATAATATATGGGTATAATAATTGAAATGCATAAGCAAAATATAATTTTTGATTGTAGTGGTACTAAGATAATTTTTCTAAGATTTATTGTTAGAGTAAAATATAAAATATCGTCTCTGTTTTTATATAAAAAGTATATTTACATCACACTGTCATAAAATATATATAAATTAAATTTTGATCAAAATTTTAAATACATTTGCAATAAGACCATAATAGAAAGTGTTAAAAATACTATACAAAACTATATTCAACTATTTTCATTTTTGTAACGAGATAAAGAAAAACGGAAACTGTTTATCAATTTGTTAGTTTCATTTTTATAAATTTTTTCATATTTTGTGATTCGGTGTTATTTGGTTTGTTGAGAAGACTTCTAATTTACTTTGCACAGTTCGTGCACAATGGACGATTTTCGCGAACGTGGAATGTTGACTCGGTTACTGGATTCTTGCAGTTCTAAAAAGGTAATGGAATCATTATAATTGGAAATATTATAAATAAATATAATTGGAAAATAATTAATTTTTTATTATTACCAAGCAAGTGAAGCAAGCCTGATGCCATTTTCCTTCCAAGGCCACGATGGCACTATCAACAATGGGTTTCTTGCAGCCGCTGCAGTTGCTCCCAAATTTATCCTGGTAATCTTTGGCGCAGTAATTTCCTCCGTCCTTTTGGAAGAAAGATTGGCCGCTAAGGGGTTTCTTGCAGGCGGCGCAAACGAAATGTTCCTCGTGCCAATGGTGGCCTGCTGCGACGATCACTTTCTGGAAAAAAAAATTAGGTAAGTAAAAAATTTAATAACGTCTGCGCGACACATTTTTTTCCTGAGATGTCATGATTGTTTGAGTAATTCGAAGACGCTGATTCCGAAAACAATAACAGAAATTTGCTAACAATTAAAAATACGACAAATTTCATTTTATGCCTTCAAAAGTCTTCTTGGCTGTAATCCCACTAAACAATTTACCTATCTGGGATACAGTATCAGCACATTTTTCAATAAATTAAATTTTCATATGTGGCTAAATGTTCTACCAAGGCAGAAGTAAATTTTTTTTATAAAAGTGATAAATTTACCTCTGTGATAGGTTTACCACATCCGTGGCAGGATTTCAACATATGTTTTGTATAACAGCTTTGGCACCATGGTTTATTTTCATGGTGGTTGAAGGTGTCGCCTTGAATTGGTTTATCGCACTTATCACATTTGAAGTGTTCCGGGTGCCAAGTCTTGCCAAGTGCACTAACAATCTGAAAAAAAAATTTAAAAATATTTAAAAAAGATACTTATTTTTTAATAAAATCATTTTACCCACCTTTCCGTGTATTACTTCATGACAAGCGTCGCAGGATATAGCAGGTGCGGTGGCAGACTATAAATTAAAAATATTTAAATTAATAATAATAATAAATTTTGATTAATGAATTATTGCAAGTTAATTAATAAATATTATCATTATATTTAATGTTGCTAATTAAAATGCAGTGAACGTAGACGATCGTTGCGAATTCCTAAGTGACGCGACTGTATTAGGTATCAGTGAGAAGTAATAAAATTCATGTTTGTGCATAAATTTATATATTATTTATATATAGCAAATACGTAACTGAGTTTATTTAAAATACAAAAGTTGCATGTGATAATTAGGAATAAAATTGCGCCATAAAAATTACAGCAAATAATGCGGTACAGGATTTGGAAGAAAAAGCTTCTGCCAAGAAACCTTCAGTTAAATGCAAGTAATACCTTTTTAGTGACATATATTTTTTACACATTAATAAATAAAATCACATAAGTTTTTACTAAAATTTACAGGAAAATCAATGTGAAAATATAAAAAATAATTTTAGTTTATAAAATGTAACATTTGAACTCATGTGTTGCTTTGAATACATAAGTTCAACTGACACATTTGATATGACAGTATCATTAAGTTCTAGAAAAATGAATATTTCCAAAATTTCAGAAATTTATAAAAAATAATCATCACATACCATTTTCGTCTAATTACTACCGCTCTGCCAGAAGTTTGTATTTATATAATCGTTATTAATGAAAATTTTGGATGTATTTTGGTCACACTATATGCATGGTGCAGTTCATAGTTGTTTTTTGTTGATTAAAATTAATTTAGTTTACTACGATTGTAATATAATTTGAAAAAAAAAATAACAAAAGGTTTTGACTATCCTTGGTTGATTTGATCGAGCATGTCATATGAGTATTGAAATTTTAAAATACGATATGAAAGAATCGTTAAGTTAAATATATTTTTTTTAAATATTATGTAAAAGTACTATCATATCCAATAAACCTATCATAATGAAAGCATCCAAATAAAAATTTAAGGAAATCATAAATACCAAAATGCTTATTACATAGGCAAATTAATTATATATCAAGGAACGAGTTGTTCAAAAAAGATGTCTCCTTGATCTTTTTATTAATATATTTATATATATAACTTTCATTACGGAATGTTGAATAATTTTGATTAAGTAAATATTGTAATGAATGAAATGATCAACTTTTTATCAGCTAATCTATATTTTATACAAATCTGCCAGGAAACTAGTTTAGCGAATAACTAGAACATTACGATATCAGAACAAAATCCGTTTTGAGATAATTTCTGTAATATCATAAATTAGCTTATTGGTCATCATACACAATTATCATTCTTTTATTAGTGAAAGTTATTTTTAGAAAAATCATAATTAGTATTATTAATATGAGCATCAGGCATTCGCCCTCATTCATTTTCCTAAAAAATGATATGGATTACATGACAAATGAAAAAGTTCTTTTGAAAAGGGTAGGTAAGAAGAATTTTATTAGAATGCTTTTGTGAATCTAATATTGTAAAATGAAATTTAATTTGGATTTATAGTAGAAAAAGGAGAAGGACGAAAAAGAACTTCTGCTTGCCATCAAGCAGTCCGAAGTAGTGCCATCAAACCAGAAACCTAGTTGGAAAACAGAAAATTTTGCAACTAAGCCAGGGAAAATCCAACAATAGTTTACAGACATTTTTTTTTTATAAATTCCATAATTAAGTATAAACGTCTTCAACTACTACTTGCCATCAGGCTCTCCGAAGAGTGGTCATCGAACCAGAAACCTAGTTGAAAGACAAAAGCGTTAACCACAGAGCCACAAAAAAGTCTATAATATTTTATAATAATCCATTTACAATTTTTATAATTAAGTTTATTACTCAAATTTTGTTTTTTTTTCAGTTTTCTCCTCCATTTAATTTTGGAACCTAACGTCGCATATTCGTGATTCATTTCTTAATAAGAAGTTGCACAATATGATTTGTTGTTTCAATTCAATGGCATTATCGCATTTGCAATACATATGCACTTGTGTAAGGTCGACCGCAAAAATTTTACAACAAAATATACACAAACGAAACGACTGCATATATGGAAGAAGCCAGCTCATTATGAATACAGGAAGGAACTGCGAAATTCGTGTTTTCTTTCAGATAAGAGGTAATTTAATTTTTATTTTTTTTATTTATTTTATGATTTTCGTGGTATTTTTTAAATATGCTGCTAATTGCAAAATCATTTTCATATGTGAAGCTTTTGTTAATATATTTTTTCATGTAATTATTTATTTGGTATGATTCATACGTACTGTATCTTAATCAGACAATTTTTTTGGCAACCTTATAAATAAAACTAGAGGCATCGTGCCTTAAGGCAAATTAAGAATTTTTCGCATCCTAAAATATTAATTTTTTTAAAATGTTCATGTTTTTTGAAAATTATAAATTTTTTGACATGACATTTGGCATACACGCACATACATAAATTTTTTCTGAGGTATGCCAAAATGTTCAGAAACCTATGAAACGTAAAAAAATCTATAACTCTAACTCTAACAAGTCCTATAAGCAACTATGATGACTTCTTAATAGCCTTATAGTTGCCAACTAAATTTATTGTCCTATCTCTTTGATAAATTTATTATTAGAAATTCTTATACTGATGATGACTTTTTTATTGGGTGCAGCAATGTCGGAGAAGGTCTATTTTTACTTGAAAACGTATTGCTATCTATATTTTCAAGTTAAAACCGATGTTACTACTGCTTGACACCAGGTTGTTTCTATCTCGGTATAGAAACTTGAACTCCTGAAGCTCATAATAAGGTAACTATATAAGTAAAAAATATGCTTTCAAGTAAAAATAGCCTTTTTGTCATCACAGCAAAAAAGTTTTTAAAAAATGTCCCAAGGACTACCATTGGGTTACCTTCTACATATATATATATATATATACATATACATATATATGTATATAAATTAGTAGTTATTTATATGTTTATATATATATATATATATATATATATATATATATATATATATATTTATAATGATGTAGGCTGCAGTGAACGTGCATACAGTTTATTATTATTATTACAAGTTTTCGCCTACCATGCATGCATGTGGGCAAATCTGCATGAAATAATAATCTGAGGAAGCACAAATTCCAAATTCATTATTACTTAAAAATAATTTGAAATAAGAAACTTTCAGAAAGAATTTTATACCTATCGCGTTTTTCATCTAACTTATCTTTAAATTCAGTTCAATTTATTGTTAGAAAAATATTTCTTACTATGTTTCAATTAATTCTTTTGCACTGTGCTATATCCGATTGAACGTTCATGTAAATATGCCACCGTAATCTTTATTAACAGACTACTAATTAGATTTATATTTAGCATTTCCTATTAAAATCTAATGTTTCTACACAGAAGTGAGATATCCAGTTTCTTGTATTAATAGCAGTGTAATACAAACAAAATTACAAACAAAAATATGGTGTAATCTACGTTCCAAGAAATTACTAAAACGAATTTAATTTGAATCATTACTAATTCTTGATTAAGGAAATATAAATATAATACCGCAAAGAAGATAATTCTTGAATTGTAATAAAATAAGTAGCAATAAAATGTTGGTGCTCTTAATAAGTAATATGATAGAATGTCCAAAAAATTTATCACAATAAATTTTTTGATAAAAATGAAAATTTTTCATAGATATTGCAATTAATTCACTCTTTTACACAATTGTTAATTATATTCGCTATTGACTAATATCCATAATAAGAATATCCATAAAAAGAATACTTAACGGTTTTGTTTTTGCCATTAATCGTAAGAAGAGTCGTATCTTTGTATTTATATTTAATTTGTAATCAAATGATAGTATTTATTTGGCATAAATATTATTATTTCAAAACAGTCTGTTACTCACGGATCAAGATTTATATTTATAGTTTAACTAAATCCAAACAATTTGTTCATGATTATAAAATTTAAAAAAACGTGGGTCCTTGTTGAAATTATAAAATAAAAAGACGCAAAAAATTTATGAGTATCAGTACGACCACTTATCATGAATTTTATTAACTTTTAACTTCACGTAAACAAAAGACAATTTGTATCCAGTCACAACATTATATCAACAATATAAATAAAAAATGAGTAATAATTATATATATATAGCCTTATATTTTGTTTATGAAGGATTTTATATCCACATACGTTCCTGGTGCTATATATAATTTTTACTAAAAATCAGAACTTATAATGGCAATTTAATGAATTTACTCTCTAATTTGTAATCAGTAATATTAAATACTATTAGAATTTCAATTAACTAATATTTTCAATTTCAAATAAGCAAATAAAAACCCCTCCTCAAAACATTAAAAAATCATATGTACAAATTCAAAGTTAGACGTTAAACTATATGTATAGATAGTTCAACGACTAAATTTTATAAAATGTTCAATACGGAAATAAAGTATTCATTCCTTTAATTCTTTATTCTATTAATCATAAATTTATCAGTTTTTAATCATTCTTAGCTAAACATATGGTAAAATGACGAAGATTTGCGATAAGGAAGATTTATGAGAATATTTTCGAACAATGGAAAATTAATTTTAATTTTATGAACATGCAATATATAAATTATTTATGGTTTATTACTTTAATTTAAATTGTTGCTGAAATATATTTGAACTTTATAGCTGACTTTATTAATCAATTAAGCGATTAATGAATATTGTTCTATAAATCAAGCCAGCAAAGTAAACTGAATTAAAATGTACGAATCGATATTTAAAGTTTGAAAATAAATCCATGAGTAGGATTTATAAACTGAAATTAAGATATACGAAAATGAATAGTAATCTGTTATACACAATTGATATATTTCTTTTTGGTAGGTAACTCAATGGTAGTCCTTGGGACATTTTTTAAAAAACTATTAATATAAAATTCTACATATTCATTAGTATGCGCCAAAAAAGTCACTTAGGCACACATGATTTTCGGATACCAGGGATCAAAATAAGATGCTTTGCTGAAGAAACTATACCTCTAAAATGAATTCTGATGTCCCGTGCAATTGCCCAAAAATAAGGGTTGAAATTTGAAAAATTCCATTTTGAACCATTTAGTCCAAATGTATGACCGACCCCCACTAACTTTGGAAAGCCCATTCACCCATGCCCATATTTTTGGGTCAACTCACGGGACATCAGAATTCATTTCAGAGGTATGGTTTCTTCAGCAAAGTATCTTATTTTGATCCCTAGTATCCGAAAATCATATATGCCGAAGTGACCTTTAACCCGCCCTAATATACATACATGCAAAAAATAAAATAAATAAATTTTAATAATATAAAGTATTAAGTTAAGTATTAAGTATTGAAGATTTAATTAGTGGAACCAATCTTGATATAGTGTTCTTATTTACATAATTCAGATTCGTTCCACTAATAATACAAAATTCTACATATACATATATGCAAAAAATAAAATAAATAAATTTTAATAATATAAAGTATTAAGTTAAGTATCAATTATTAAAACTATCATTAGTTTAAAATATTATTAATGTAACGAATTTTGATATAGTGTTCTTATTTATATAATTAAAATTCGTTCCACTATTAATACAAAATTCTACATATACATATATGCAAATAATAAAAAAAAATTTTAATAATATAAAGTAATAAGTAATAAGTATCACGTATTAAAGTTATCATTAGTGGAAAATATTATTAGTGAATCAAATTTTAATATAGTGTTCTTATTTATATAATTAAAATTTGTTCCACTAATACAAAATTCTACATATACACATATGTGTATATATATATATATATATATATATGCATATATATGCAAAAAATAAAATAAATAAATTTTAATAATATAAAGTATTAAGACTTACCATTGTGAATCTACAATTTAGTAGGTACTCGATAACAAAACTGATAAATAACAAATTAACAACTTGAAATTACTTAAATTAAAGAAATATCAATAATTAAATGGTATTAATCGTTCTCTAATTATTATTGCTAATGAACTTTTCGCCCGTAGCGCTCCAGCGAAACTAATTTGCAAGGCGGCTTACGCGATTCCCGACATGTGAGTTATCCAGTTTTATCGCTCGCGAACCACGCAGTTTGGGGACATCTGATTCTGCGCCGAAGAGTTATTAGTATTACTCATGCCATCGTACAAAACACTTGGACAACAACCGTCCCACCCTGGTGACGTGCCGAACATCCAGGTCAGTTATCACATATGTATTATTTTAATGATTCAAGAATTTGTTTATTGCACACATGCTATAAAATTCAAATGAAAATTTATTAAAGGCGGAACGGAAATTTATATCGGATAATGTAAATATAATTTGTGATTTAATTAGGAGTTTTTGTTTAAATTGGAGTTGATTAGATGCGTTGCTGTATTATAAACATGGTGCATCTATACACTATTTTTCAATTTTTCTCCAACTTTAGGAATACAGTAGAATTTCACTAATCCGGCTCTATTAAAAACCCGGGTGCCGGATTACTGGAATGTTCAGATTACAAGATCATAGTGAAGTCTAATTTTCAATACATTTATGATATCGGAAATGTCCAAAAATTTCCGGAAAATTGTCCAAAACTTCGGCCACGAGGGTGTCGGACTGTTGGAGTGTCGGTCTATAGAAGCGCCGGATTAGAGAAATTCTACTGTACATTATTCCAACAAAAATTACACCATCCAGCTTCTTAAAGAAGAACAAAACGTTTCCTTACTTTTTTCAACATTTATCCTTATACCTAGAGGTTTGGGTTCTAAGCTTTTTCAACTTCCCGAAGGAGAAATTTATGAAATTCGCAAAAACTCCGACTTGACAATATCGTTTTAACTATTCTGAATCGTTTAACCCCAAAATTTGTAATTGTATATGCGTGTAAAAAATCATAAATATTTGGAATTAGTTGATCATAAAAAAATGAAATTTGGATTAGAGAGATCAGAGAGAACAAATCCTTTTACATTTTTCTTTATACCTAAAGGTTTGGGTTCTATTCTTCTTCAAATTAGGAAAAATCGTAAGAAAATCCGACTGGACAATAGCATTTTAACTATTCTGAATCGTTTAACATCAGAATTGGAAGAAGTATGTGTGTTTAAAGTAAATTCATAAAAATTTGGAATAATAAATATAAAAATTTGGAATAATGCTATTTTAATAAGTCGTTTATTTAAACATGTCTTGATATTTTTATTAAATGCCCATAGTATATTACTGCAAAAATTATATAGAATTTTGTAATAAAATATTAGAAATTACTTGATTTTTCTGCAAATATTTTAAGAAGAATTTAATTTTGAATTTTTTTTTTTTTTTTAAATATCCATACTTACTCCACGCCCAATTTGTCGAGTCATTTCCAATTATAAAGTCCCCACAATTTATAACCACAAAATTTCGATTATAAAAGTCATCATTACATTATCTAGTATATCAATGTTATGAAATTATTATAGATTTTGCACACAACACCCAAAGTATGACATAATTGATTTATTCTGCGTAATTATGAATTATTATTGATAAGATAGTTTTCAAATAATCGAGGAAATTTCCACTTAAGAGGATTACTTGCATACATCTATTTTTCGAGGAATTAACATATAAAATGATTATATACGAAAATCATCGTATACTTTATCGGTTGTACGAATTTTTAATAAATAAAGTGAATTTTTCTATTGTTATTTCTTCATTTTTCTATTTTTTTTAATTATTAAAATCAAATGTTCTCATCTATTTTTTCAATTAATCAAGGAAATTAACACTTGAAAGATTAGATAAATGCAATTATTTTTCGAAGCATGTAATAATAATTATATCATAATTGATTCTTATTACTTTTTACCATAAAATTTTTAGTTAATATAAATAATATAAGCTGGGCTCTTCCGTGGCCTTGTGGTAAAAGCTTTGGCTTTGCAACTACGGTTCCAAGTTCCATAACGACCTCGGACAGTCTAATATCAAGCGGTAGTGATTTCGATTTTCAATTGAAAATATAGAAGGCAGTATATCGGTGAACATATGTACGTAATATATATTATTTGCCCGATATTATCATTTTATTACATCATTCAGTTCCTGGATTACATATGACAATTAAAATTCGACGGTAAATTACATCCTCATAAATATTTATCATTGTTTTGAACACTATAACAATTCAGTAATAATTTAGATAAGGAACATGTTATTGATCCGTTTTGATAAAAATAAATTTGATGTGATTAGATCAAAGTTTAACCGAGTTTTGCACACGGCATGAACAATAACGATTTTTGTTTTATTAGAAAAAAGATATCAGGAAAGATAGAGCTGATTAAATGGTGATCGATTGATTGAAAATAGTTTCAGGGTTGTAAGGAATTTTCAAAAATATTTGACTAAAATTATTATAAAATTGCACCCATACTCTTTCTGTTTCATGCATCCAGGCTAAGAGTCTTATTCCTCTGGTAACAAATTGTTGATTCATCAAGTGCGTCGCTTAATGATGTAAAAAATAAAAATGATAAGAAAACCTTCATATCTTAATTAATTTAATATTTCTTGGAATAATTATTTCACAAAAGCCAGCAATAATTATAGTTAATTTATTTTACTATAGAACCGAACAATTAAAAGTACCTTTATTATTACGATATCGATTAATGCTATCTTTCACACCTTTGTTTGAGTTTTATTTAAGTTATCAGAAGTTCACAAAGAAGACCTTAAAGATAGCATTTCATATATAGATTAAGTGGCCCATTTTTCCAAAAAATATGTATATAAGTCACGCACATGGACGTGATTCTAGGTCACAGAATATTTAAGACCAACCTGATGGTAATTCAGTACCAGGCACAGAATTTTCCAACAGTTGATATACTCTTTATCAAATGTCTATATTTATAAAAAAATCTAATTCTAATACAATTTTCTGCTAAAACTGCTCAAATATTTTTTTATTAATTCACCGCGATGAACATATGAAAAAGGCGAAAATTAATAAAATACGAATGCAATTTTATATTTTTATCAGGATATATTTGTTTAACATTGTATAAATATATCATAAAAAATTATCAGTAGAGTACTTATAAATAAAATCATAAAAATTATTATACTTTTTTTCGAAGTGACGTCGGTTTTTATTATTGATAAAAGCGTCGTTATTAATTGAGTCATAATTCTTTTAAGAATGTATATGAAATTTAATTATCTTGTTACACATTTTATTGATATAGTTCATAACAATTAACAATAACAACTATTTTAATAGTTTAACATTCATAAACATTACATAATGTACAACGTCAATTAAAAAGATCAATATTTTTTATATTATATATAATTCATGTTCCATAAAATATAAGAATTTATAAAACCAGTTGTTTGGAAGAGATTCTAAAAACAACTCAAAAAATGTAATTATAAATGAAATTAGCGTATATCAACTCTATTTAATATATTTATTGCAAGTTATAAAATACAATTAAGAGATCTTTTGTGTTATGTTTACATTATATTATATTTAAATTAAAAAAATCTGTAAAAATTACCTTACTCCATTACAAAAAAAGTATGAAAATTTAATACCTAATTGGTCAAACAATTTTCTGTACAAAATTTATAAATGCAATTATCAAAAATTTTGTAATATCTGATGTCTAGTCTCAAATAATAACTAAATGATCCTCAGTTGCAAAGAATTTATTTTTCAAAAATCTATTATGATACAAATACTTTTATTTATTTGCACCATAAAATAGTTAAACACCAATAAAACACATCACCAATTAATTAAGGAATTAAAATATAAAAATTAAAAATAAGAGCTTTGAGAATAATACAAAAAAGTAATACTTATGTCTAGTTAAAAAATAACAATGATATAAAATGCATTTTATTTTGTAGATGCTGCATCTACATCTGGAGAAATTGCTTGCAACATTTTGGACTTTGAATATTTTCCAAACAAAGTGCAGAGGAACGCCACTCCATATCCTGTTCCACGTTCACCCTAAACAAAAAAAAGGTAATATAATGGCTCAGAGTTATATATTGTATATTAGTTTTAATAAACTTACACAGCTAACTGGATAAGCCATATCAACATGCATCCAAACACCTGGAAAATCGAATCCTAACTGAGCCATTATGAAAAGACCAGCACAGGAACTTAATGCATTTTCTCTATCCTAAATAAATACATTGCATCAACTTAATGCATTTCAAATAAGGTAGTATAAAATAAGAAAATACTTTGAAATACATACGGCAACTGAATTTTTCATATCTGCTATAACAGAATCAAACTGGCTAAAATGTAATTCAGGAGTGAAGGGTATTGGAAAAACTAAGTCTGCACAAGATTTTCCTGCAGCAACACACCCAACTTCCCATTCCTGGCTGTTGGTCAACACTGCACCATGGTAAGCACCAGTAGCAATACCCTAATAAGAAGTAATTATACTGATATTATACTTGACATGCTATTTTAAATAAAATAAAATTATAAGATTTGCCAGGCAAAACTTACCTGTGCTCCAGTTAAAGTTGCCATGTCAAGTATAATATCTGCTTTTAGATCTTTGTTAGCATAGGCAACTCCATCTGCAAGAACTAGGCGACCTTCTGCATCAGTATTATTGATTTCAACAGTACGACCAGAGTAAAGTGTATGAACATCATCTGGCCTTTAGTACAAAAATTTTAAAAAAAAATTAAATTAGATTAAGAATTAAGCAAATAAATTTAAACTAAAAATAATTAGTACCTAGTTGCATTGGGACCAACAGAATTTTCAGCCAAACAGAAGACTGCATGTAAATTTTGTTTGAATCCATTTTTTACTGCAGCATAAAAACCTCCTAAAATTGCAGCTGCTCCACCACAATCACGTTTCATACCAGGCATTCCTGTTTTTGATTTGATGCTAAGGCCACCGGTGTCATAAGTTATACCTTTGCCAACCCACGCTACTGTTTTTGTAGCCTATCATAAATCATGAAGACAAATTTTGAAATTGGATATATTTTTGATCGATATCTTTGTAAAAATTTATAAAGCTTACTTCAGGATGTTTGTAAGACAAAACTGCTAAAGCTGGAGGAGATGTTGAAGCTTTACCAACTCCATAAATACCTCCAAAACCTTTTGAATTCAAATCTTCACCTCGAATGACCATTGGTGTTATACCCAAACTTTTTCCAACACTATTTATTTCCTAAGGCAGAATAATTTTGATTTTATTTTTGTAAAGGTAATTGAAAAATAATAATAATACCTCTAAGAAGTGGTGAACATTCATAAAGTTTGTAGGGGCATCTACAATTTTTGCTGTTAAACGAATCCCATGGGCTGTGTAGTTTAAACACTGAGAACATAAACAATATAAAGTGCAGTATAGATATATATCTAATGAAATATGCAAAATTTCTATATTTTACCTCAATATCTTCATTAGTTAAGGGTTCAGAATCTACAATTAAAAATTCAACATTGACTGTATAATCAGCACGAGTTTTTCCTGATTTATTATTATACAGTGGATAAGCCCTTGCTACTGCACAACCACTTGCATAAGCATCTTCTCGAGTGCATACAATCTAATATCATGAATAGATATTAATAAAAGTATACACATTAATTATAACAATTTAATAAGTACCACTATTGTTTCAGTCACAGGAATACTAGAAATTTTAATCAGTTTTGTAAGTGCATGAGCACGAGATGGTGCATTATGACGGCTACAGTTGACTGGCAAAGCAGCAATTGTTGCCAAATTTAAATATAAAGGACAAGAATCAGTTGGGGACGGGTTCAAACTGCATACAGCTGTTGAAAATGTCTGTAAAAGAAATAGGCAAATTTTATATAGAGTAATTATTTTTAAACTTATCATACTTACCTCGGATGTGACATGTGGCTGCAATTTGCAAGCGACTTGTTCGAATTTTAATGCGCGCAGGTGTTTCAATTGTCCCAATATTAATACTGGATGGGACTGGGGGTCTGTCTTTGTCAGACCAGACTTATAAACAATTGTGGCAGTCATGATATATTTTAAATACTGAAAATATTAATATTCTCAATATGTTAGAACTATTTTAATTTAAATATACAAATATTTCAATACTTATATCACACCACCTTTCTGGGATTAAATATATCTCATAAGTTCATTCAAGTACAAAGTACAAGTGGTTATTTTTGATAATACATCTAAAACCGTTTGATTTAAATTAACATTTCTATCTAATTTTATATGTAAAGAAAGGTATATTAAATTGTATAACAACGAACTGTAATTATACAGTAATAAAATTCTAAATTAAATTTTCTAATGGCTTAAAAATATAGAGGAACTAATATCTGTTAATTTGACGTTTACCAAAAACACCAGATTGGCGTGCTGTGAAGTTGCTACAGAAATCAAAAAAATAAAATCTGGTTTTTGCATATTTAGTTGGCAAGTCGTTGCTTTGTGTCAAATTAGTTGCCGGAATTGTCAAACTGACATCATGGTTAAGTTTATATTGTGAATATTTGAGTTTGTAAATACTTTTGTGCTATCAATATAAGGCTGTTGTTCAAGATACTATTATCATAATTGAAATAATATTTACTATAAAAATATGGGCCCCAAGAAAAGGGGAGAATGTTCTAATAATGATAGAGGTACAATAATAACCTATAGGCTTACTATAACCTAGTCCACAATACAATTAAACATATTCAAGAAAATTAACATAAATAAATGTATTAAACAACTACTTTTATAAATAGGATCTGATAGTGAATCGGATTCGGGCTCGTCTCGCAGTAGGAGTCCCAGTCCTGCTGTTTCAGTAAATCAAGATCCAGTTCCAACTCCTGGTTATTCTCTTGAGCAACAGTCAAGGTAATTTGTTTTATTGTTACAACTTTCTTGTGCCTCGTTGTTGGTTCAATTTATCTATCAACTACTTTAATCTATGGTTAGTTGTCTTTGTAAAAATATTTGTTTGTAAACTCTGTGAAGAATTTTGTCTTTCAAATGTATAGTAAATGACTGAAGCCAATTACAATTATTTTTCAATTTTTCTTTAATTTTGTGTTTTATAGATCAAATTCACCCGCGGAATATAGATCAAATTCACCACAATCACCAGGTTCTAGGTCAGCATCTCATTCACCTGCATCTCATAGAAGCAATTCTCCACACCAAAGTGGTGAACCTGCCAGCCCTGCTCGATCAGGAGGCCATTATAGTGGGTCCAAATTCTCCCAATTTACAGATTGATGCTAGTTCTCAGAGAGGTTCTGTCAGCCCTGACTCCCATAGATCAGGTTCAAGAAATTCATCTAGAAGGTCCTCAAGAAGATCTTCAAAAGATTCCAGAAAGTCTTCAAGGGGATCTCGTAGATCCTCAAGAGCTTCTAGTCATCATTCAGAATCAGGAAAAGCTCATTCACGCAGCCTGCATCTCCATCCCCTTCACGAAAATCTGATTCTCGTAGCCCTGCTAATAGCATAAAATCAAATAAAAGTCACACTTCCAATAGAAGTAGAAGCAAAAGTAGAAGTCCTAGCAGAAGTAGAAGTCATAGCAGGAGTCTAAGTGAAGGTAGAAGTAGGAGTCAAAACAAAAGTAAAAGCCGCAGCAGGAGTAAAAGTAGAAGTAGGAGTAAGAGCAGGAGCAGAACTATTCATGAAAGAAAAACATTAAGCAGGAGCAGAAGTCCAAGTAAAGGTAGAAGTCAAAGCAGAAGCAGATCACGATCTGTTCAAAGTGCAAGATCAGAACGATCTAGACATTCTAATAAAAGTGGTTCTCGTAGCAGATCCCAAAGCCCTACTGAGTCACAAGCATCACACAGGAGTGACAGGTCACAAAAGAGTAAAGATAAAGATGGCCAACCAATGTCAGAGGATAGTGATATTGATGTCAAAGCAAAAAGAAAACGTGCCGATCTATCCAGTGATTCCGGTTCTGGTTCTGATACAAAGAAAAAGGGGAAAAAAGTTAAAGCTGGAAGAATAGATTCTGATAGTAGTGATAGTGACGGGAAAGCAAAAGATGACACAGGTATAATATTATATATATATATATATATATATATATATACATAAGTTTTAGAATGCAGTTTTAGATCATTTATTTCTGCACATATCACATTATAAAAGAATTGAAATAATGGCAAGAATAATTTCAAATATTGTTAAATGTTAAACTCACATTTATCAAAACTTGGCTCTTTTGTTTATTACTTTATATAATATAATATTTTCTTAAACAATAGTTACTGCGGATGCTCTTTTTGGAGATGCTGATGACATCAGTAGTGAAGAAGACAAGGGCAGAAAGTCTGATGCAAGAGATAGTGGGAGTGAAAGTGATCGAAGAGCTGATTCTGATAGAGAAGAACGTGCCAGAAGTGATGATGAAAGAAGAAGGAGTTCAGATGATGAGGGAGAGCAATCAACACAAAGAGTTACTACATTAGAAGATGTGAGTAGACATTTATTATATAATACAATATAAAATTATTTACTATAAATTTAATATGAGTTTTTATATTTTGGTAAAATAGTACCAATGTTCTTTATATTCTTACACATAAATAATTAATTTAAGTGACTTATTTTAATGTCTTTGTTGTAGTATGAAGAACCAGAGCCAGAACCTATCCCGGAGACTAGAATTGATGTTGAAATACCAAAATTAGTATAGATTTGGGTCGGGAGCTACATTTTGTGAAGTTGCCAAATTTTTTATCTGTTGAACCTAGGCCTTTTGATAAAGATACCTATGAAGATGAAATTGATGAAGAAGAAACTCTTGATGAAGAGGGTAGAGCCAGGTAATCCTCTTTCACCAGTTTTATGCAAATGATATATATTATATTATATATCTATATATATATATATGTATGTATTGTTTCCAAACAGATTAAAATTGAAAGTAGAAAACACAATACGATGGAGAGAAGTTTTGATAAAGATGGAAATATTGTTAAGGAATCTAATGCTAGATTTATCAAATGGTCTGATGGTAGCTTGAGTCTTCACTTGGGTTCTGAAATTTTTGATGTTTATAAGCAACCTCTGCAGGTATATATTATAAGTTGATTAAATATTATTTAATCATATTAATATTAACAATTGTTTTAGTGAGTTGTATTTTTGAATCTTGTTTGATTTTAACTATTAAAACACTGTTGTACCTCAGAAAAATAAAGTTGTATATCTTTACTTGTTTTCATCTACAGGGAGACCACAATCATCTATTTATTCGACAAGGAACTGGTTTGCAGGGTCAAGCTGTTTTCAGAAATAAATTGACTTTCCGTCCACATTCTACAGAATCATTTACGCATAGAAAGATGACAATGTCACTGGCAGATAGGTCACAAAAAACCACTGGTATCAAAATTCTTTCACAAGTTGGTCATGATCCTGATGCAGATAGGAAGTGGAATTTGAAGGTAATACTAGTTGCATGCCAATATTCTGAATATTCAGAGACAGTGAAAAAATTAAATTTACTTTTAATGCTTTGTAATTTATTACTGGTATAATATATAAAATTTGGTACTATTATAGAAAGAGGAAGAGAAGCTCCGACAAGCCATGCGATCATCACGTCCAACATCAAAACCAAAACGCAGTAGGGACTCTGCTGCTCACACAGCATTTCGTGAAGATGAGGGATCTGAAGATGAAGGAGCCATTTCAATTGCAGCTATCAAAAATAAATTTAATAAACCAAAAAATGGTGCATCTGGTTCAGCAAAAAGTATGTATATTATTAATTTTAATTTTTTCATGGTATTAATTTTTAGTTTTGTATCATGTATAAAAATTAATTTTAAACCTTATAAGTCAATATTTAATGATAGAAGTTCAAACATTAGATTATTGGTTAATAATGTTTTTAAAATTTATTAATTTTTTTATAGCTGGTGGGGCAATATATTCTTCTGATGAAGATGGTTCAGATTTTGAAGCCACAAAGCCAAGAAAACTGATAAAACTAAGGCATTGCAGGATTCTGATGAAGGCAGTGCGGCTAGTGGAAGTGGTGATGATGATGCTGATACTTCTAACAAATCTGGTGCTGATAATGATTCTAATAAGTCAGATGATGATTAGACACTTAATGATTAATAATAATTATATATAAATAATAAAATTGACATAAAATCATGTATCTTATGGTTTGTTATCGTAATTGTGTTTTTTATTAAACACCTATAAAGATTGTTTTAAATTAATATTTTTTTTTACTTATAGATTTGTATTTTGAATGTATTGTACTAAGGTAAAGCTTTTATTAATAAAAGTATTAAAAGCTCATTATTAATTAATTTCATATTTCATAACGAAATTGTGGTTATTGTGTGAAGTTGGTTTCCGCATATAACTTCAGGTCTTTTAATTATTTCACATTGACAGGACGCCATTATGACGCACAAATCAGATGTCCCAGTGCATGTCGATGTCAAATATTTACAGTTTTAAGGTTAATTATTTGAATATGAGTGTTTTTATTATATTAAAGCATATTTATTAGTTAATACTAATAACGTGTCCTGTGAGACTGAAAGGTAAAATTTAATATTATTGTTGGTTCAATCATTTGAAATTATTAGTATTGCTTTCAACTATCTGTTATTTTTAACAGAAACAAACATTTATTAATTACAAACTCTTTATATCATTCATTTGATGATGTAGAGATTTTCCTACATTGTTAAATAATTCTTTATAAATATATTATCTGAAAACTTTTTGATTTAAGTTCTCTTTTTTTGCAGATTTAATATGTAATTGAATGAAAAAATAGTGCTTTACTTATACTTCTCTTCTGTATGAGATAACTTTTCACCACACAGAGTTTTTTGGAATCATAATGTAAGTTTTTGATTTATTAATATGGAAACAAATAAAAATATATTCAGCACTTGTATGTAAACTTGGGAAATGTCAGATAGCTTTCTTTGATTCTTGGATATTGTATATAAACATACATATATAAATATATACTTATAATATAATATATATATATATATATATATATATATATATAACATTATGCTGATATTATTTCAATATATTACATACTATGCAGATATATTTTTGACTATCGTCCTATTTCTAATAATAACTTGTACTTTGTATTTTGGATTTCATTTTACCTTTTTACTTTGATATATTTCTCAATATGAAGAATTTGGATATCATCTTAATATTTATACTTTTACATATGAGCGTTAAACCAATTTTATTCGAGATAGGAGTTGGGGAATCTTACAATTGTTAGTAATTTTATATAATGCTTTATTAGCATTTGAAATTCCTAAAACCTTAAATTTGAAATTTGTACTAACTCAGTGGTATTGAAGTGAGTGACGATTTTCACTTGAAAGTAAATAAATATGTTTTAGAGGTGATGGAAATGTGATACATTTCAACTTTCTGAGACAAGTTTATCCTAGGCCGTGTATTCCCAGTAAAATATATTTATTTAGTCCCTCTTGTAGAGATATAGTGATTATATTCGCTATATATACAGGCAGTAGATTAGATTTAATAACTTTGTTAGGAATTAACATAACATTATGCTTATGTTAACTGCAATAATTTTATGAAATTTTTATGTCAGATACCGTTTTTAGATATGTTTTCATATTTGCCTGTATTTTCTTTAAAGATTGTTAGGTTTTACTGTATATCTTTTGCTTTCTGGAAGTTTAATTTCTGTGATGTTGTAATGCCATCATTATGAATATTTAACGAGTTGCGCGAATATAGTTAAAACTTGTGTTTACTTCCACACATATATTCTATTTAATTTGTAACAAATGTGTCAGGGGAATATTAGGCCTGTTGAATGTGTTATAAATAGATATAGATGTCTGCTATATGTTTATAATCATAAATCAATTATTCAACTGGATTTCAACTTAGATTTTCAAATTGGATGTCCTATATATCCTAGCAATCGAAGTAGTTGTTTTTTTAAACTACAGCTACTACTAATATATAAATTCTCTATAATAAGTGGCAATAGAAATCTTCCAATTTATGAAATTGGAATTACTAAAATGAAATTTAATTTCTATTCATTGAGATTATTACTAATCTATGACAAATTTACTGTTTTTTATCAACTCGGTATTAGAATTATTGAAGCTTTTCATATAGAGTTTAATTTTCTTCAAAAGCAATAAGCGGGGATTTTGATTTTCATTTCCAGTATGCAGTTTGATTTATACAAAAGCTGCAAATTTGCAATCAGATCGACTATCACAATTAAAAACTTTCATAGATTAATTGCATTCACTTGTTCATTGATCTGAAATAAATGTTATTTCTCTTGTTCTTGCTCTACATTTTAATACTAGGAAATGTGTAAAAGTGAATATGATTGTACTCTAGAAAGTTATTTGGTGGATGTATACATTTGATATATTTTGTTGAGTGCAGATTTAGGAAACTGATCTTATAAAATAAGGCTGTGATATTAATTAATAAATAATTGCTTCTGTAAGGCTATCGTAATTAACTCCATTTGCCTTGTTTTGTTTTGGAATTTCCTAGTTCAAGTTTTTCATAAATAAGTTCTATTGTCTGCATTTTTGATAGACATGATACATTTTTTTCAAATTAAGTTCTCATTGTTGAATTCTTAGTTGGTTGATAAATTTTAATTTTATCATTTATTAACAAATAAAATTAGTTCTGCAAAATGAATTATTGTATTCATTTCGAATTTCTAATTAATCATTATTAATTCATGCAGTATAGAAATATTTTCGTACCAGGAAATGAATTTTTTCTTCGTTATCATTTTGAGGAACAATTACACGGAATTCCGTATTGGATATATTTTATCAAAAGTTGGCGCCTACTTTGTAATTTTTGTCTACCAATGTAAGCCTTGTGTTTTGCATTTTTTTAAAATTGGAACGAAATATATTAGTAATTGAGAAAAACAAATAGTTTCTATGTCAGCATACTTTTCGAAAAAGATAACATGTGCGTATCACATTTCAAATTTATTATTATTCTAGGTCATTAATATACTTTGCTTCAAATGCAGATTTATCAATTTAAGATATAAAAGTAAAAACAACAGATATTGAATTATCTATGAAGTCTAGGGTCAATATAACAAATTCTACTGAGGGCTTATGACCTCAGAGCCGGCACATGCATGCTCATATCAATCATTTGTTTATTGTTTATAGTGCTATGGAATTTGCAAAATAAACAATTCAGGTGTAGCGAATAATGGAATTTCACAAGCATCCTGAATGAATATACTAATTCCATTATATTTATTAAAACTGCAATTATAGGAATGAAAAAAAGCCAGTATTCTTACAAATTTTCATATTATGGATAATTATGATAAACTACTGTTATTCAATTAGCTGGCATGCCTGCATTTTGTTTTTGAAAAATCCTCGGTTTTAGTTACAGTATTTCATGAATCTCAAAGGCGTTAGTTGTTGTTCATTTCCTGAATAATAAAATATTCTTCCAGTGAATTCTTCTCAAATTTCTTTATTAAGGAAGTCGGGTTCAATCTGTCTTAATCTTAAAATAACTATCTGTTACGTAATATGTACTCTAACGCAATGAAATTTTGGTTTGTGCAAAAGACATTAAACCACCGTATGGCTTATGTATTTAATTTGTTTGTAAGGAAATTAAACTGAAATGGCCTGACAGTAGTACTATAAATAATCGTTTATATGCGGAAAAGCTGCTTATCAACAAAATTTCTTGTAGGCAAGAGAAACCTCTGATTCACTTTTCTGCATTTTGATGAAACTTCCCATGAATTGATAGTCCATAGTCAATAGCCAAAACCATAAAATATTATAGGCTTATGAGAAGTGGTTTAGTTGTGTGTATTTGCATTGAATATAAATACAATAAAATCTATGTGATCTCTATGATGTATCTATTGTGCCGATGATATAGTCTATCAATGAATCTTTTAAAATCTGTTTAGGATGTTGCACATCCTTAATGTATAAAATTCTAAAAAGGCGGCTCATGGAAAAGCAAAGATTTTTTTTTATTAGTTGTGAATAGATGTTTTCTTTGAGCTATATAGATTTATTTCATCCGATCTTGCACAATGTCTTCGATTGCGCAAATTTCGACCGTATGGTTTCGTGTTGAAAGATGGAGGGCGATGAACGAAAATAGTTTACGGATAAATATCGTTCATCGTGTTAACTGATTTCGCGCGGCCTGTGTGTGTTTAGACTTGAGGCAGGTTGAAAAATTGTGTAATGATTGTATTTTTAAACTTCCATACAATTAATTAGAACGTGGATGTTAAAAAAAAGTATCAAAATGAGCTTTATAGCAAAGCCTGAAACTGTATTAAAATCTCTGATCGTTTTGCAAATTAGAAAATGTCATGACAAGTATCAAAAATGTCATGAAAAAGTATCAAAAATGAGCTTTATAGCAAAGCCTGAAACTGTATTAAAATCTCTGATCGTTTTACAAATTCTAAAATGTCATGACAATTATATTATTTTGTTTTTCTCCTACAAAAACGTAGTCCGATTTGCCACATTACTACCCGTTCAGTATTGGCTACAAACCTAGGTGATCGGAAACACGTTGCATTTTACTGGTGTGAAGAGAGAATAGGAGAATTGTGGAATTGCCGTTTGCGCATTTGCTGGCGCTATCCTCTGCATTTTCTTTCTTATATTTTACAACTGTCTTGGTATCAAATACGATGTTTGGACGCTTAAGAAACAATTTCCAATAAAATTGGAAGAAAATATACACCAGCTCTCTTTTTCCCATGCTCGACTACATGTATGTAGATATGTTTCATTTAAACATGCTCTTCGCGTTGAAATTGCATTTTGATTGTTGTTAGCCGAACGCTTAAAATTTCATTTACAGACGTTTCGTTATCAGACAGATCTTAAAGAATGATAAAAAAGTATATTGTTTTGCAGCACGTAATCACGCCGGATCAGACGTGCTGATGTGATATGGGTTTGTAATTTAATTTCATATGTTTACACCAGCTTATTTTTTTAATTTACCTAAGCTTGTAATAATAAATTAGATATATGATAAAAATATTGATTTCAAGGCACAGATTT